CCTGACCGCGGCGCGGGTCCCCAGAGCTCCCCGGAGGCGACTGCGAGCACGGTAAGCGGGGCTCCCGGAGCCGGGTGGGGACAGGGGCGGGGGGCGTGAGCGCGGCAGGAGGCGGCGGCTCCGGAGGTGAGTGGCCCTTGACCCCCGCTCGCTGGGGCGCCGGGCTGGTAAGCCCTCGCCTCGCCTCCTGCAGCGCCTCGCGGACCGGCGCAGTCCACACCCGGTGGCCGCTCTGCAGCCTTCCTGCAATTTCTTCTTATGGAGGTTGGAGGACAAAATCAAGGACCCAGAGGTCCATCTGAGGCCCAGCGCGGATCTGTCCGAGACCCAGGCGTCAGCACCCTCGATGGGGCCAGGACTGGAGAAGGTCGTCTCTGGCCCTGAGCTGGCTGGGAAAGGCGAAGCCTGGGTCACAGAGGGACGGCCTTTGGCCCGGGAGAAGGGTCTGGTTCTGTGTCTGAGAGATAGGCTGCAGATCCCTCTTCCCAGTCTAGCCAGGCAACCCCGGCACCCCACCCCGGGGTGCTCAGCTGCCGCTGCGGAATAAAGACTGTCGTCTGCCTGCGGCAGAGGCGGCCGCTGTGCGGGGGGAGGGGCTGGCACAGCCAGGCTGCCAGCAACCCTCTTCTTAGGCCTCTGCCCACCTTGGGATTGAGTACAGGTGGAGGGGGCACCCAGCAGCAGTCCTGGTCCCCACCAGGTCATCCTTTCTGGAAGAATGTGCCTTCTGACTCTGCTGCAGGGTGTCCTGGCTTCTGCTGGGGGGAGGTGGGCGGGTGGAGCTGCGGTGAGGAAGGGTGCTTGGGATGGAGGAGGGGAGTGTGGTGTGTGGAGAAGGTAGTGTGGTGTCTGCGGTGCTGTGTAGCTTTGGGGTGGGATGGGTGCTGAAGGCCAGGGAGCAGCGTTCTTCCCACTATATGTCCCCACCTCTGGGGGTCCCAGTCCCTACTTTCTCTGACATCTCCTAGGCACCCCCAGGCATTCTTGCTCCCATGGAAGCCCCTGGGATGAGTGTAGCATCCAGGGCTCTGGCTCTTTACCATGAAGGCAGATCATGTGACTGCAGCTGGAAGTTCATTCTGAAGTCTCACTGAAATACCCCCTGCTGCAGTCAGCCTAGGGCTATGGGAAAGTCAAGGGGTTCCTCCCACCCTAAGCCATAGGAGAGGCTTCTGGGCCCAGGGGCTGCCTCTGGGAAGATAGTTCCATGGACAGAGAAGCCAAGAGTTTCATAGGGTGAGCCCGTGTCCCAGTCTGAGGCTGCATTGGGCCCAGAAGTTTCACCTGGATAGATGCCTCAAGGGGTATCGACTGGGTCTGGGAAGGCCCAGGTTTGCCCCTCACAGAGAAAGCAGGGCTGGACCCTGGCCACAAAGGCTGCACAGGCTCAGGCAATCCTTTTGGCAGCCTTGACTGGCCTAGGCATGTGGTATGGGGACAGTGACCAGTAGAAGCTCTGCAGATCAGCAGGGATGGTACAGGCCAGGTGGGAACAGAGGAAAGGGGGATAGTGTCAGTTTCTGAGGCTCAGTCCAGACCTCATCCCTGGGAGCTGAGTGGGCCTCCACTCCACTCGCCTCTCATCCCCAGGCCAGGACTGGCTTTGCTTGTCCTTGCCATGGGCCCCGCCAAACAGAGTGAAGGGATAGAAGAAAGACCCTTCCTGCCTCACTGACCTCAAGGGCTGAGGTGGGAACCCACCCAGGGAGAGCATGAGGACAGAGTGAGCTAGTCCCCGTGAACATGTGGACTCCTGCTTTCCAAGTTGCCACCACCAGTCTCTTTTCTGGCTTCCTTAGCACGGCAGCATCTCCCTAGAGGTGTCCCTGGGTGATGGTGGCCCAACTGCTCTGCCTCCCAGCCTTAGTGCTGACTCTTCCACAGCCCATTGAGGTGAGGGCTGGGCTCCACCTGAGTGGGACAGTGTTTCCTCTGACCACAGCTCTGACTGCTGCCTGTGCAGGTGGCAAGTTCCTCATCCCCAGCTGATGAGCAGAGAGTGACTTTGTGAGGATTCTGTCACATATGTGCTCAGGGATGTGAATGTACTTCACGGAGGCCTTGAGTGGAAGCCCCTGTGTGTGAGGAGGCCCTGAAGCAGGCACCTGGGGTGCATGGCTCCTGGATTCTCGAGGACTTTGGCAAGCAGAGGGTGAGGTTGTGTGTGTGTGAGTGAGCACGTAAGCATGTTCTGTGCTCCGCACACTTGTCTACACACAAGTGCACACAGGAGAGGTGAATTGTGGGTAAGGATTGAGCCCATCCCCATGTGTGGAGTCAGTGTGCAAAGGGGCGTGTCCCGGCTGGCACAGAGAGAGGGTGAGAGCTGCATCAGTGTGCAGCACCAAAGCTGGCATTCTGTGCACCTAGCAGTGGCTCCTAGGAGGGGTGGGGTACGCAGACCCTCCCTGGGATGAGGGTGAATGGACTGAGCCTGTGGGTCCATCCCTACCTGCTCTCCTCCCCAAGCCTCAGACTCTAGAACCCCAGTTCCCAGGAACCAGTGGGACAAAGACTGGGCAGGAAGGATTGGGACTATCAACATCCACATTTTGTTTCCTGTGTTCCCACCTGGCTTGCGCCAGCCCAGCTGGTTTGCTTAAGGCTGTCTTAAGTTTCCTGGTACCCCTAACCTGCCAGTGACAGCCCAGTCTATAGCATCTGGGGATGGCCAGCGGTGAGCAGTCTGCCCCCAGAAGCTTTGGGTTTGGGAGACCCAGTGGCTGAGGATGAACTCTGGGAGGCCAGCACAGGCAAAAGACCTCCCGTAAGAGGGATGCTCCTTTAGAGAGGGGAGCCCACAAGCTGTGGGGCGTAAGCTTGGTGCAGTAGGTGCCAGGACTGTGAAAACAGGGATGAGTGGAAAGGAGGTTCCCTGGGCCCGCTGGGGTAGTTGCAGGCCCAGCTCCTGGGTACCTGCTGGGCAGCTTGGAAGGTAGGGAGAGGGAGGAGGCAACCTGCCCACTAGGCAGCAGAGCCTGCTCTCACTGTGCAGAGCAGCAGTTGCCTGGCACCTCTGCTGTTGCCATGGCAATGTTGGGAGCTGCTAACTTGCTAACAAGTCCCCTTTGGCTGCAGATGATAATACTGCGGTGGTTTCTTCTGCTTGAGGGTTCCCTGGGAGGCCACGGTGGGGCCAGGTACAGGCCCTGATGCCCACTTGACCCACCCCCTTCTCTGGACCTCAGCCTCTGCCCCAGGGGTGAGGGTCTGCCCAGCCCCCCTCCACAGTTGAATTTGCTTCTGTTGGTTTAGGTGAGAGGTAACCCACCCCAGCTTAACTGATGAAGAGGCATTGAGGCTTCTGTCCAAGACCTTCCAGCCTACAGTGCTTATGCCTCACTGTGGCCCTTGGGGTCCTGGGTCTCAGAGCTGAGTTGGTCCTTTGTCCAAGGGCAGGAGGCTCTTCCCTGGCCTGCAGGAGCCACTCTTCCCTGGCCCTGGGACCTGGCACGACTCTCTCACCACCTTGTACAAGATTCAGATTGGGGCTCAGGAAAAACTCCCCCAAATAGCTCATACAGGTATTGAATTGGGGACCCCCTTTGGCAGGCAGGTAATGACTCCCTTGTATGATGTGGCCCAGGGACAGTAGCCCTGGCCTCACCTGCACTTTATTCCACAGTGGCGGAGATGGTGCCCAGGCCTGGGGATGGGGGTCTGTGAGGGTCCCAAGGCCCTGTTGCGGCTCCTGGTAGCTGCTATGCTGACTGCTTAAGGCCCATCCAAGGTGGGGTTTCCCTGATCCCTGTGATGCCAGAAGGAGGCACCCCTCGGGAGTGGGGTGAGCAACCTACAGCAGGGTTACTGGGAACAGTGGGCACAGATGCTACCCAGCATGGCCAGGATTCCTGGGTGGTGGGGGCCTTAGACCTGCCCCTCAGTGCTTCTTGGGTGGGGACCGGGGGAGTACGGGCCTCACCTGCTGTGCATCCACTGCTCTGAAGACTGTCTGTCAGCACCCTGCCTCCCTCAGACTGGGAGCTAACCCAAGGTGGTGGGGATCCAGACACAGTAGTGGCCACTGTCATCCCTAGCATTGCTGTTTGTGATATGTGAGCACCCCCAGGGCACCTCCCCAAGCACTGTCTATGGGCTGGGCACCTGTAGAGGGGCCTTTGCCCACTGTGGTCCCCTGTCCATAGGCCCCAGGGTCTCCTCCTGGGTGGAAGTGGGAGGGGCAAGGCCTTGCAGGGATGACCTGGGAACCTGTCATCCAGTCTTCCTGCGTGTGACTTGGAGTGGACCCCCCCCCCGAGCCTCAGTTCCCCCATACTAAGAATAGGCTCGTCATCCTGATGAGCCTCTTCCAACTTCATGAAACCTTTAATCATCCAGGCTGAGCACAGGCTGGGGGTCCCCAGTCTACCACTTGGGGTCTGTGAGTTTTGGGTGGGTCTAGGGGAATGCCAGTCCTGGCAGTTGACAGGGAACATGGAGCTTGACAGGTGGAGGTAGCAGAAACTGGTCACTGAGCCACAGGATGGGACTTCTGAGTCCCCAAACCCTAGCTACACCTATTCCCTCCATGCAGCCCTCTGCCCCAGGCCTCTGCAGGCCATGCTGAGGGTCCCAGCACCCTGAGGATCCCAGCCACACTCACCTTCACCTTAGGGCTCTCCCCCACTCCACCCATCCTGGGACCTGAAAGCTCTGGGGACCCCAGGCCTGTGCTCAGCGTGGAGTACCCATCCTCACCCCATTCTGTTGGTGAGAAAGACCCCCACAGGGACTGGGCACTTGCTCCCAGACCCCTGGGCAGCAGGCTTGCAGGGTGCTACACCTCAGCCTACAGAACTAGAAACAATGACAGGAACATAGGAGCCCCCCATGCCCAAGCCCCCAGCCTGCCGGCCCACCCACCTCCGGGAGCCCCCTAGTTGGTAGGGCCTGATGTTCACATCCCTGATGCCCACATCTGCCACAGTCCGGATCACTGCTTCATGGAGTGGCCCCCCCAAGATTCATCTCCAAGGATTGGGCTCCCTGGGGTTGAACCAGGAGGGGAGAAGAAAGTTCTGGAAGTTCTGGACCAAGGGCCTGCTGGGGCTCTGGGAGGGGCGGTGGGAAGATGTAAAGCCAGAGCTGGGAGAGGCACAGCCAGGGGTAGGATAAAATGCTCTGGGATGCCATCCACCCACCCCAGGGACAGGACAGGGTGCCCTGGGATAGGATGGGATGCCCTTGAATGCCATCCACCCACCCAATGACAGAACAGGATACCTTGGATGCCATCCATGCACCCCAGGGCCCAGGCCAGCCCTGAGAACTTGCCCTCTGGGTCTCTGTTGGCCTCCCTGGCCTTGCTCTGTCCAATGGGAGCTGGATCCTAACAGGGATGGTGCAGGAGCTGGGAAGAGTCTCTCCTGCAGGCTCTTCCAACTTCATGAGACCTTTAATCATCCAGGGGAGAAGGCCCCATGGGTACATGCGGGCTCATGTCCTAGTGGCGTTGGGTCCTGGTCACGGCCCTTCCAGGGGCCTGTAGCACGGCTGACTGCCCTCCTCTCCACAGGTCTGGCGCCATGTGCTAGGTCACACCAGAAGTGTGAGGCCATACCCCAGGCCATTGGAGCAGCCCCTCCTCTCTTCAGGGGTCACCCCACTGCCCAGCTCCCCACCATGGCTGGGGACCGGCTCCCGAGGAAGGTGATGGATGCCAAGAAGCTGGCCAGCCTCCTGCGGGGCGGGCCTGGGGGGCCGCTGGTCATTGACAGCCGCTCCTTCGTGGAGTATAATAGCTGGCACGTGCTCAGCTCTGTGAACATCTGCTGCTCCAAGCTGGTGAAGCGGCGGCTACAACAGGGCAAGGTGACCATCGCGGAGCTCGTCCAGCCTGCTGTGCGCAGCCAGGTACCAGCCCAACCATCCTGCTGGGCTCTAGTCCCTGCCAGAGCCAGAGGCTGAGAAGCCCTCAAGCCTGCAGCCTCCCGGCTCTGTTCTTGGGGTCCCAGCTCATCTCAGTGTTGTGGGGCAGTCCCCCTGGCCTATCTTCCACACATTCACCTCTCCCTCAGAGCTCGCCCACACACAGCAGGAGGTATCTTAGCTGTATGAGGGGACAAATGAGGTATAAGCAGGAGGGAGTTCACAGGAGAGAGGCCAGGCCAAGCCCCTCTCCTAGCTCTGCTCCACCCCTCACCCCTGAGTATGCCCCTCTCCTAGCTCTGCTCCACCCCCCACCCCTGAGTATGCCCCTCGGGATTTCTCTGTGGCCTTGCAGGGAGGAACAGCTGGTTCCTCCCAGGCCCATCAAGTCCAACTGCTGAGGGGGGGTTAGGGCAACATGCCTAGAGGCTTCAGGATGCCTGGTCACCAACCTGCCTGCTTGGAGCTGGGTGGGATGGGCAATTGTTGGAAGCCCCCAACCTCAAGGCCAGAACTGGCTCCCTGCATTCTCCAATGAAAGGGATATGATTAATTTCCCCCAGCGAGAACTGGTTGGAGTGTGATCCCATTGGCTACTAGTGACATCACCCTGCACGGGGCTGGCAGCTCAGCAGGCTTAAGGGCTGAGTGTGCTTGGGGGTGGGGCACCAGTGCTGTCTGAGCAAAAGCCCCCAACATCTGGCCCCAAGGCCGGGCCTTGGGGTTGGGGAGGGCAGGAGGAACCAACCGCAGCTTCCAGCTACTGCCTCTGATATGGTGCAGGGGCCAGGGCAGGGGGACCTCCTGCTGCAGCCCTTAGTCCCTGGGTGCTGGGGAGGGAGAAAGGGGCTGGCTTAGCAGTCAGCCCTACTAACAACACAGACCCAAGGGCAGTTGCTTCCAACATCCCTGCACTCTTCCAAAGGGACATGTTTCCCTTTGTCTCAGCCACCCTGGGAGCCAGCCCAGGCCACATCCTGCCCCCGCCCCATGGTTGGGCAGGCAGGTGGAGAGTGTAGAGGTTCAAGGCCGCAGGGACCCTGTCACTCTGACTTTGTCTCCTCCACACGGGCCTAGCCCATTTCTTCACCACTGTGTGGCAGTGGATGGTAACACGTGTTTTCTCTCACATTGTCTGGTTAGGAGCAGACTGGAGCAGGGCAGAGCAGGGTGTCCCACAGGGCCCAGCTGCACACTGACATCTGCCCTTGCTGCCCCCAGGTGGAGGCCACAGAGCCCCAGGATGTGGTGGTCTATGACCAGAGCACCCGGGACGCCAGTGTACTGGCTGCAGACAGCTTCCTCTCCATCCTTCTCAGCAAGCTGGATGGCTGCTTCCACAGTGTGGCCATCCTCACAGGTGGGCTCCCAGCCCTCCCCATTGTCAGCCTGGCTGGGTGGGGGCATCTGGGTAGGGAGGGGGTTCTCAGGGCCCCCACACTCAGGACCCTTCCACCACAGGAGGAAATATTCAAAGGACAGGAATCAAGGCAAAGATGTGGTTCTGTTTGGGAGCCCCACCCACCCAACAGAGCTACCTGTCAGAGGGAGGAGGCAGAGGCCTCACCCTCTGAAAACCTCAGTCTGTACCAGAGGACTCCCCCAGGGAAATCCTCCTGAAGGCTCAGATGTAGGCAAGTTGCCTAGCAACAGTCTAGTGTTCATGGCTGCAGCTGGGGTCCAGTGGAAGCCCTCCAGGGCTACCTGTACCCCCAAACTGGAGGCTGGGAAGACCCCCCACACACACAGTTTACACTCTGTTCCCTGCCATGGCTCCAGGGGCAATGGCTGAGGGCCAGACCCTCCCTGGCCCAGGACAGGGGTCTCGGTTAATGCCCCTGCCATCAGGACTCTGGGGTCAGCAAGGAGAGAGTGTGGAGGACTGAACCCTCAATCCCCCCACAGTGACAGAGTGCCCTGAACCCTGCCACCTTCAGCCACAGGGTGGGGGTGATGGGCAGCCTGGTGGGCCCCAGGGACTAGTGTCCTGTGGGAGCAAGGACCAACCAGCCTGTGAGGGAGGCCCCAGAGGGTGTCAACTGCCTTGGCCATCTGTACCCACCTCTGGAGAGTACCTAGGAGGCTTTGGGGGGGGGGGGAGTTCAGCATGGTGTGTGAGAACATGGGCTGCCCTCTCTTTATGCATGTGTGGGTATGAGCACCCATGTTTCTGGATTGGCACAGGCAGAGGGTGTCTGGTAGCTGGCCTGTGTGCCCATGAGCATCTGGACTGGTCCTAGGCCTGTGGGATTTGGGATTTGTGCACACATATGGGTACTCTTGGAACCAGAGGGCAGGAGTGGGCAGGGTTCTGATGGACATTACCCCATCCCTGACTCTAGTCAGGCCCTAGAGAGAGTAGAGAGTACAGCATGAGGTCCCTTGCAGTGGACAGGGAGGAGGAAGGGAGGTGAACACCCAACCTGCTGTCAGGAGAACCTGTGGGATGTGGCATCAATGGTGATAACACTCACCTGCTTTTCCAAGGCTGGTGCCTGGATTTGCAGAGCCTGGAGCCTACCCCATTTCCATGGGCCTCGAAGATCACGCTTGCTTCAGAGACTAGGAGCTAACATGGCAGAATTTTGGTTGAGGTCTACAAAACTGGTCACGAGCTGGGCCAGGGATGAGGGCAGAGACCAGGCTTCTCTGTCTCTGGGGATCACCCTGGTCCCTGGCATGGTCTCTCCTGCAGACCAGGGCAGAAAAGAGCACCAGGTCCCCTGGGCCTGAGCCGTTGCCTGAACATCCTCACCTCCTCCAGTGGGAAAAGGCAGGCCTGAGTCCAGGGTCTCCAGCCCAGGATAGAGTGACTGGGGCCAGAAACAGCAGCCCACCTGCTGTGGGGGCTATGTCCCCAGAGGCATGCTAGGTCCTAGTGTCCCTAGCAGTTCTCTCCTGGCCTTACAAAGGTGGGAGGTTCCCCAGTTTCTGTTCTGAGGCAGGGGTCAGCCCAGTTGGCCCAGGTATGATCAGGTCCACTCTCATGTTGTCTTCATGGTCACTGTCTTCTTGGAGCCTCACAGCAATGTCGTGGGAGAGGCAAAACCAGGAAGCAGGCCAGAGGTATGTTCAGCCAGCCCATGGTCATTGAGTCAGACATGGCTGCAACTCAGCAGAGGGGATGTGTGGAAGCCAGCAGGCACACACCTGCCATGTGTGGAGTAAGCTCTGTGACAGGGCTTCCATGTTCCTTGTCCTCCCCTGCTGAGTGAAGCAGAGCTGTGACCAACCACAAGAGCACTGCAGGGCAGGTTCAGTCCTAGTGGGTGATGTCAGGCTGCAGAGGGGGCCCTCACAAGCCTTTTTCTCCTGATACTGGCACCTAGGCCTGGAGCTCCAGCCAGCAGCAGGTAGGGAGAGATGTGTTGACGCAGGAGGGGAGGAGAAAGGCTTGGCCTGAGCTCAGGCCACAGGCATGGAGGGACAGATGAGGGCCTCTCCCCTCAGGCTATGGGATCCACATTCTCAATAGGAGGTCCCTTGGTCACTGAGCAGACCCTGCCTGGACCCAGCATGTGCTGTGCTGACCACCTCTTCCTGTCAGGTGGGCCAGCCTTTCATTCTGCATGAGGAGGACAGTGGGCATCTGTACAGGTTATGAGTGGGTGGCAGCATGTACCCTGCTGTGGTGAGAGCAGCATCCAGCTCTATGTGCTCCTGGCCCTGCTTGGGTCCAGGCTGGGTGTGGCTGGGCCACAGCGATAGATGGGGAGTCCTGGGCATGCTCCTGCTGACCTGGCCTGACAAGTGCCTTTCCTGCAGGGGGCTTTGCCACCTTCTCCTCCTGCTTTCCTGGCCTCTGTGAGGGCCGGCCTGGAGCTCTGCTGTCCATAAGCCTCTCCCAGCCTTGCCTGCCTGTGCCCAGTGTAGGTCTGACACGCATCCTGCCTCACCTCTACCTGGGCTCTCAGAAGGACGTCCTGGACAAGGTGTGCAGGGCCAGAGGGGAAAGTAGTGGGAGGTGGGATGAGGCCAGGTTTGGGACAGCCTGGGGGAGGTACTGGGAGCCAGGCCCCCACCCCTAGGGCCACAGCAGGGCTTCAGGGAGGGGCCCAGCAGGGCTGGGTTAGAAGTAGTGGCCCCACATGCCAAACTGCTAGTGTCACTGGGCCCCTGGCCAGCTCTGAAAGAATCTCGTGTTTTAAAAATGGTGATGGAAAAGGGTAAAGCCACCGCCCATGCAACCTAAATTCCTGGGAGCCCACAGCAGGCTGTGGGCGAGGCTCTCAGGGGCTGCCAGCCGCCCTCGTGGCACAGCTCCACAGTGCCCAGCCCAGCTGCAGGCTGCAGGGAGGAAGAGGCTGGTCCTTCTCCTGGGAGCAGGGGGTTTCTCTTTTCTTGCCACCCCCTTCCATTGGGCCCTTCCCTTCCTCCAGGACCTGATGACCCAGAATGGAATAAGCTATGTCCTCAACGCCAGCAGCTCCTGCCCTAAGCCCGACTTCATCTGCGAAAGCCGCTTCATGCGCATCCCTATCAATGATAACTACTGTGAAAAACTGCTGCCCTGGCTGGACAAGTCCATTGAGTTCATAGGTGAGGTGGAGGTGGTTGGGGCGGTTGGGAGGGTGGAGCCCCCAGATGGGGTGTGGAGGGGCTGGGCAATCTCAGTCTTCACCTAGTCCCCGTGGTCCACCTGCCACCAGATAAAGCCAAGCTATCCAGCTGCCAAGTCATCGTCCACTGTCTGGCTGGCATCTCGCGCTCTGCCACCATCGCCATTGCCTACATCATGAAGACCATGGGCATGTCCTCAGATGATGCTTACAGGTACCCTCCTTACCTGTGGGCGGTGTCTTTCGATGGCCCCTCCCTTTGGTAATCTTACCCGCCTTCCCTATTCTGGCCATATCTGAATGGCCCAAGGTTAGGGGGCCCTGACAGGGGAGGTGAGCCTAAGCCCAGTCCCAGCACACATCGTCGTGTGCCCAGGGGAGGAGCAAGTTGGGGGAGTCGGGAGGCAGCCTCCCCACCGACTGTGCTCTGTGCAGGTTTGTGAAGGACCGTCGCCCGTCCATCTCACCCAACTTCAATTTTCTGGGGCAGCTGCTGGAGTATGAGCGCAGCCTGAAGCTCCTGGCAGCCCTGCAGGGCGACGTGGGCTCTCCCTCTAACCCTAAACCCGCGGAGGCCCCGCTGCCACAGCTGCCGCCACCTACCTCAGACGACGCCGCCCCTGGGAGCGCTGCGGCCCCCGCAGCCAGGGAGGGCGGCCCTGGCGCCTGCGTGGAGCCCCCAGCACCCGCCCCGGCCACCAGCGCGTTGCAGCAGGGTCTGCGCGGCCTGCATCTCTCCTCCGAGCGCCTCCAGGACACCAATCGCCTGAAGCGCTCCTTCTCCCTGGACATCAAGTCGGCCTACACCCCGAGCCGACGGCCTGACGGCCCCGGCCCACCCGACCCCGGCGAGGCCCCGAAGCTCTGCAAACTGGACAGCCCGTCTGGGGGCGCGCTGGGCCTGCCCTCGCCTGGCCCCGACAGCCCGGAAGCGGCCCCTGAGGTGCGCCCTCGGCCCCGCCGGCGGCCCCGGGCCCCAGCCAGTTCCCCCGCGCGCTCCCCAGCGCACTCCCTTGGCCTGAACTTCGGTGATGCGACCCGCCACACTCCGCGGCACGGCCTTTCGGCGCTGTCGGCGCCGGGGCTGCCCGGCCCGGGCCAGCCGGCTGGCCCCGGAACCTGGGCGGCGCCACTCGACTCCCCGGGCACCCCGTCACCCGACGGGCCCTGGTGCTTCAGCCCCGAGGGCGCTCAGGGGACGAATGGCTCCCTGTTCATGCCTTTCAGCCGGGCGGGCGCTCAGGGACCCGGAGGCAGCGGCGACCTGCGGCGGCGCGAGGTGGTGCGGGCCGAGCCCCGGGACGCGCGGACCGGCTGGGTCGATGAGCCGGTCCCGGAGACGCAGTTCAAGCGCCGCAGCTGCCAGATGGAGTTTGAGGAGGGCATGGCAGAGGGGCGCGCTCGCGGTGAGGAGTTGGCTGCTCTGGGCAAGCAGGGGAGCTTCTCTGGCAGCGTCGAGGTCATCGAGGTGTCCTGACCAGTAGGGCCCCAGCCTCTCCGCTGCCCTTGGCGCCCTGGGCTCCGCTACCAGCAGCTGGCCATTATAAATATATATTATATATAATGCAAAGAAAGGTAAATGGTTTTACTGCGATTTTTATCGAGAAGTAAATATTTCGATTTTTTTATTTATTTGAGCTGTTCATTCTGGCAATGATCTGGCAACATGCCGGGTGGTCCTCGGAGCTCTATTTTTACTGTCTGGTATTTAAACTGAAACATGTTTCTAAGCAATATGAGGCCACCTTCAGTAGCAAGCTGGGGTGCCAGGCCTGGGGTCCCCTCCCCAACTCCCCTGCAATCCCAGGAAACACTGCTGACCTTTGCAAAGAGGCTGCCGAGCTTTCAGCTTTTGTGCACTTTTTACGTAAGAAAAAGGGGAAAAAAGGAAAAAAAAATTCTTTACCACAAACTGAGCCGCAGAACCTCTCTTCCCTCAACCCCCACCTCCTAACGTGCCCCCCCTTTTCACCCTCCCTCTTCTCTCCTCTGCACCTTTCTCTGGCGCCACACCAAAGCCATAGGTTTAGGGATGGGCCCAGGAGCTGGTGTGCCCCTAGGAGGCACTGCCAGCCCCTCCACCAGCTCTGGGACCAAATTTTAGTGGCATGGAGGGCATCCTTCATATCCACCACTCTAGAGCTATTCCCTGGCAGGTGTGGACAGGTGTTTGGCCCAGTGGGGCAGGGGTTTCAGAGAGCCTGGAGTAGAACAGAGTGGGGCCCTGGAAAGGGGGCTCTGTATGTCAGATGAGACAGATCTCCTGGGCAGGGATGGGGATGCAAATGTTCACACTGCAGGAGCCAGGTCCAATTTCCCAGACTGCTTGGCTCAGAAAGTTTGTTCCTAGGAAGCTGCTTCCCTCCCTTTCCTTTGTTATGTCCCAGAGCCCCCTGCAGAGCAGGGAGCACACCTGCAGGAGAGGAGCTCAGCCTCTGGGGGTTCCAGGCCTCTGGAGGTGCCAGGCAGAGGGTCTTGCTAGCCAATGCTGGCTCCACTGGTCAGAGGGAGCTGCCAGCCTAGGTGTTGAGGGGTGGACTTAGGGCCTGTTCTGGGCTCTTATGTCCATCCAACCCCACCTCAAGTCCTAGGCAGGACTTGGAATTCAGGTGTCTGCACATTGATGGACTCTGTGAGCAGGTACTGCCTTGCTTAGGTCGCTAAGGCCTGCCTTCCCACTGTGCTTCCAGGGGCTGGGGGTCCAGAACTTTGGGACAGCCATCTCAAGGCAGATAAAGACCTCTTTGTTTGCCCCAATCCCTATGGGGGCCTCTTAGGAGAGGAAACCCCCTACACCCTTTTCCCAGGGCCTCCCCTGCATCTTCAAGGGGACATGCCAGTTCCCACCCCTAGGTAGCTTTTTTGCCCACGTGGGCCAGCCCAGGGGTGAGGGCAGGAGAAGAGCCCAGATGCCTTGGCCCCACATCTACCATTGGGACCCAAACTTTTGGGGGCAGGAGATGTCCCTTGTCCTTCAGATATCCTGGAGACTAGCAGTGGGGTCAGTCACCTTGCAGAGATGCCAGGGGCAGGAGAGGCCTGGGCAGGAACACTCCTAAAGCCAGGCGGGAGGAGCTGCCCATGCAGACCATTTCTTCTTTCTATTTGTTCTTCTTTTGCCCCCCAGCCCTCTGTCCCTGTCACCCCTCTTTTAAGCAAAAGTCCTGTTCCTGTTTCCTTTGTCCTAGCCCTGTTCTCCAAAAATAAGCTATCATTGTTGTATTTGCAATCTATGGATTAGAGGTTTAAGTATTTATTATTGGTTAATTATTATTAATTATGTAAATTTGCCTCCTGTCTGTTGCGTTGGGTTTCTGAGGTGACTTGGGTGTGGAGGATGCACTGGCTCCCCCCTCCTCACCTCCCATCCCTGTACTGTCTGGGAGACAGTTTTGGGGCCACTGGTTGGGCTCCAAAACTCAGGATGCAGGTCCCATGACCCCAAATCCTCCCCTGCCCTATTTCCAGGGCTGCCAGTGTCACTGTGGCCCCTATCCTGGGGTACCTAGGGCCTGTCAAATTCAGTCTGTCTCTGTGCTTGCTGGTGAGGTATTGGTCACCCCAAAGGGGATGGCTGACACAGGGGGGAAAGGCTTTGTCTCAGCTGCTGCCTCCTCTGTGTTCTGGGGGAGCCAGGCAAGGGGCTTCTTCCATGTTGTTTCCCCCTTCCTCTGTCCAGTATGGAGGGGCTGCTGAGTCCTTCAAGCCTCTCGGGCCCCTCCCAGCCCTCTGCCTAGCCACTGCCTGACACTGGGGTTGCCCCATAAGGGGTGCGGCCCCCTCCTGTTATTTGCTGGAAAGTCCAATAAAGGAGAGGCAGTAGGTCCCCCAGCCTAGGTGCCAGCCCCAGCCCGCTCCCCTCTCTGCCTCAGAACCTCCCTCCCAGTGGGCCACACTTCCAGGTCCTAGGTCTGTCCTCTCCTTTTGTATTTGGAAACAATGTGTTGTAATAAATTCTGAGATGGACCTTTTCCCCTGGCCTCTGGCTGCCTGTTTCTTCACACTGGTGGGGGGTGGGCAGAGAGGCTGGGGGGGGCAGTTGTTGGGGCTCCCTAAGGCCAGGAGCCTGGAAATATGGGTCAGACTGACCAGGATATCAGGTGAGCAGGGTGGAAGGTTGGGACCCTGCAGGGGGCTAGGTTATAAGGTGATGTAAATCTTTCTTATTTATAGTTGCAAGTTTAAGGAACTTAAACTATGATTGCTATACCCCGCACTCATTTTGCTGCCACCTCCCTAAACCCCCAACCCCACTGTGAACAGCCCATTCCTCCCTGCAGGCCTGTTCCGTGTGTGTGTGTGTGTGTGTGTGTGTGTGTGCAGGAGCATGTCTGAGGTAAATCTGCAGCTAGCTTTTCAAATGTTATTTATTTAACATGTGCATGTAGTACAGGGGTACAAGGCACACAGCATCTGTGGGAAGTACTGATGTATGCTTTCTGGGCCACCAGGCTCCTCTCCTGGAGGCAGCCCTGGCCTACCTGCAGACCAGCTATGAGGTGTGCTGCACACAGTCTGCAGCTGTGCAGTGGTGAGCATCCTCGTCCCAGTCCCACACGATAGATTTTTACACTAGGTTTTTGGGGTCTCTTCAATATCTGCCTGGCTATTACTGCAATAGCGCCTGTGTACTGAGTGCTCACTGTGCAACAGGCACAAGTTTCTAGGTAGGCCCCACAGCTCTCTGGCTATGGCTTCCTCTAGGCCTGGACTACATCTCCAGGGACCTCCCAAACCAGTGACACTGGCCAGACGTATGTGTGTAACAGCTGTGCCTCAGGGGATGGGAGCAGGGAGTAATAGGACCTGGCCAGCCCCTCTTGGGGACTGGGAGAGAAGGTAGGTTCTTGAATTCTCAATGTTTAAGAGTCCTCACACAGGCTGGAAGCCAAAAGCATGGGCTGATGCACCACTAAGGCTATTTTTAGCTCAGGACTGGCTATTTGTAACTCTGGCAGTTCCTAGGAGTCAATAAAGCCCCGGACTGGACAAAAGCTGATGGTTGTATCAACCTCCCCCCCCACTCACCCACTGATGCACTTGAATACCTGCAGCTGCAGGAGGGGGTGACAGAGCCTTTACTAAGATGACCAGCTGGGCACAGGAGGCCTCAGGACCCGGGGGCAGTGTAAGACTCCAAATGAGGGGGGATCCCATTGCCCAACTTAGCCAGGGCCCTAGAAGTCAACTTGAGCAGGAGCTGGACAAAGTGGGCTGTGAAGCAGGAGATGAGACCAGTGGGCTGGATTCAACTGTGGCACAGCCAAATACCCTTGCCCCACAAGGTCCCCTAAAGGCCTGATGCCCGTTCCCACATCTGTGTCTCCCTCACCCCAGGCCAAGAGCTTTAGGCATTGGATGGACGTGTAGATGGGTGAGTGGACAGGTGGAGGGTGGATGGAGGAGTGAGTGATTGGGTGACAGGTGGACAGGTAATGAAGGAGTAGATGGATGGGAAAATGGGAGGGAGGTGGGTGAATAATAAGGTTACAGTACATCCATGCACTTCTGCTAGTCTGCCTCACATTAACACTGTGAATGCCTACATCCTCCCACTGGACTGTACACAGGCACCTGGTCCTTGCATAAAGAAGGCACCCAGTCTTGTGTTTTGGTACCACTGTAGAGACTCAGTTCAACCCTCTCCAAAGCCCAGGGAGAAGAGCAGCATGTCCAATGTTCATCAGAGGGGCAGGGACAAAGTTGGGGCTGGATTTGGTTCCTCACTGCCCAAGCACCCCTCCTCTGCCCATTGGGCCTTTTCCAACTCAGACTATCCTTCTGTGGGTGGATTCCTTGGGGTGTTTCTGAGGCTCAGGGCTGCAGGAACTTGGAGCAGAAGAAAAGGAAGAGGGCCAGTTCTCAGGAAAGCTTCCAGGAAGACAGAGGGTTCAGAGGGGCTAGGGATATATGGCGGGGGGGTGGGGGGCGGCGGCACTAACAAGGCCATGGTGTAAGAGGAGGGGCGGAGGTGGAGTGCAGAACTGGGAGCCAGGCAGTAGCTGACAGCCCCCAGCCAGGTTGAGGTTTGATGGGGATGCGGTGTAGCTCTGAATGGAATGGGGGTGGTGGTATCAGCTCTCCTGCAGAAAAGTGCATAGGGGATGTTGCCATGAAGGAGAAGATATGGGGCCTCTGAGAGGTCTGAACAATGGGCATGGGCATGGATGTCCTACTCCAGGAGGGAGCTTCACAGGTAAGTGCACAGGGCCTGAGTGCTCAGCCTGGGCTCAGGCTGCCAGCCCTGCTGAGAGATCTCGTACTTCCTGGCAGAGCGATGAGGTCTAGACTAGTAAGACAGACCACAGTCTCAAGGTCTCTTCTGGCCCTTAGATTTGGGGGTCTCCCAATGCAGCGTTATTTATTGAAGGAGAGGCCAGCCCTTAAGGATGTGATGGCAGCCTTATGGAGGCTATGGTCCCCTGAATGTGACCAGAGTGGTGTCCTGGCGGGGCTACAGAGAAATGCATGTGCCACAGAGCAGAGTGACGCCAGCCACGCCTGCCTTTGTCAAACACTACCAGGAGCCCCCCTGGCCTTTCTAAACTGAGGAAGGGCTTGTGTTGCTTCAGAACTTTCCAAAGTCCCCACTTCCAGGAAGCCTTGGGAAGGGGGCAATAGGGAGGAGAGGTGGTCTCAGGGAGAGAAGAGATATGGGAGCTGAACCGGAGTGAGTGAAGAGGCTTCAGTGAGGGGCAAATTGGGAGGAGAGGACCCTGTAAAGTGGGAAAGGCTGAGCTAGGATCCTGATGGTGGAAGAAACCAAGGGTTGCAGTCCTGGGCGTCTCGCCCTGTCTTTTCAAAAAGCCATCCTGAAAATGGAGCAGCGGGGCAAGAGGAAGTTCTGGGAACTGAAGGGGAAGGTGCCTCTCACCCCTT